TAGTATTCGGAAATGGCGCTTATTTACACGTCTTAAGCAATTCAGTGCTGGACGCGTGACTGCCTCCTATGGATCGATCAATTTACTTTCCAACATCACACTACAGGGAAAAAATCACGTGACCGGTAAAGGTACACCGTTTATGGTGCCAGAGGATTAGACCAAACAACATGTCCATCCGACATTTTGCAAGTAGATTTTCCCTAATGCAAGTAAAGTGGATATTTAGTTGTTAATGTGTAAGACATCTAAAAACTCGCGGTTGGAAGGAAATTTGATGAAGTATAGAATGTCTTTTTGACAATAACGAACTGCTTTTAGGCATTGTGATTAAGGTGAGTCGTGCAAGATATTTTAGATGACAAAATGACGAAAAGTTGAAACCTTACCAGTGAACTGACATTGATGTTTGAAATAATTCTTATTCTTTGTAAGTATATATATACAGAGACAGAAGATGTGGAGATAGTGCTACAACATCAATACATTGCTTACAGCTCTCATTTTACTGATCTCATGGATTTGAAAGTACACATTATAGAAGCCTATACTGGTAATGTATTTACATCATATTTAGTTTTTAAAACTCTATAATTATTTCTGAACCTTTGCATCTTTAATAATGGAAATCTACTGCGATCTGAGCCTCTAGCGGTGTTTTGTTCTCATTTTATAATATCGATCTAAATTAGCTACAGTTTTTCTACTCGAGATTTCATTTCTCGTGATTTATGTCGCATCGTATGCACCTCACTTAAATCAGCATGCCAGTCATTCAAGTTGAAATGAGCGAGTTGGAGTTTGATCATGCTACTGTTCAACAACACGTAATCAAGGAACATTCAACACTTATTTTGCACAGAACAAATCAAAGATTTATGAATATGTTGAATTGGTTTTAAGACCAAAGATGTGGTTGAAACGATTGTGTGAACTGAAGTTTGAAGCCTATCCCGCCATTGGTTCGCTTACTTACATACAATGTGTTTAAGAGTACTTTAAATATTAAAATGCCTATTGTTAAAGATGTATTGGTTGATGATTACATAAGATAAAGCATTGAAGGTGGTAGAGTTGAAGCCATGTGAGGTAATCGGAAGGTCGACATTTGTCGATGGATTAGCTGAAAAGTATGAAAATATAACATTTTTTGAGATCAGGAATTGTGGGGTCACGGGTATAATTGATCCGTCACCGCTTAAATCGGGGATGATTACCCGTACTTGATTTGGTATAAATGAGCAACTGTCAGATGCCTTACAACACGATGTTTTAAAAAATTAACTTCCTAAACTTACCACGATCAATAACAGCTACGATTCAATCTTCTTTCATGGCTCCTCTAAATGTTCTCATCTGCGGCGGGGGCTGTGGTGGACCAGCTTTAGCCTATTGGCTGGCAAACAGCGGTCACCGCGTCACCGTTGTTGAACGCTTCTCTACTCTTAGGGCCTCCGGTGCACAGGTTGACCTTCGCGCTCAAGGAATCGAAGTCGTAAAGCGCATGGGAATTCTGGATGTCATCCGTGCAAAAACTGTTGATGAAGCGGGAACTTCTTTTGTAGATGCACAGAACAGGACCAAAGCGACCGTAATGGCCAACAAATCAGGCAAGGGATCACAGACTCTTACGTCTGAATACGAGATTATGCGCGGTGATCTGGTGCGAATATTGTATGACGCTACCAAATCTAACGTGGAGTACATATTCGGCGTAAGTGTTGACAGTTTCGAGCAACCTGACGACCGAGTCGTAGTATATTTTTCAGACGGCCGTACCGATACTTTTGACCTTTTGGTCGGAGCAGATGGTCAAGGATCGCGAATTCGAAAAGCAATTCTGCCTCCTGACTCTCCAGAGCCTTACAACCGATTGGGCTTATATTCAGCTTATTGGTTCGTGCCTCGCTCTGAGACAGACAGTGAGACTTGTAAAATCTACCACAGCCCAGGCAGCCGAGCGATTATGACCAGGAGCCACAGTGTAACGGAAACCCAAGTCTATTTTGCAATCAAAGATGATTCTGAGGAACTAAGAAGTCTTCCAAGGGCCTCTATTGAGCAGCAAAAAGCGTTTTGGTCAGAAAAATTCAGCGGGGCAGGATGGCAGACGGATCGGTTCATCGAAGGTATGAAGAACGCAGAATATTTTTACTGCCAAGAAGTCATTCAAGTACGTACAGACACCTGGTATAAGAACCGCGTCGTTCTTCTTGGTGACGCTGGATACTGTCCATCTCCAGTCACTGGAATGGGAACTACAGCCAGTTTTGTTGGTGCATATGTGCTAGCTGGAGAGATCAATCGAAATGCCCAGAACCTTCCCGTTGCGCTCGCAAATTACGAAAAAACCCTGCGGCCATTTATCAACGAGGTTCAAGTCATTAATCGACAGATGATCCGTTCCGTGTTTCCCCAAACGCAACTGGGAATCCTTATCCTCCATTTCGTGGCTGGTATACTCTGTTACTTTCGTATACCAGAACTTATAGCCAAGTTTTCTAACAGTGAAAATGGCGGCTGGATTTTACCCTATTATCCGGAGCTCAAACAGGATCATCAGACATTGGTAGAATAGAAGCATCGATAAATAGCATTATGCTTTGAGACTAAATGTCTTAGGAAGCCTAGTCGTCAAATTATAGATCTACAGTAATATGTAATCAATATTCAATTATTTCTGTTGAAATGAATTTCTTTAGAAAATTACTATAATCCATCGGACTTTCCAACATGTTTCCTATTAGACCATCATCGTTGACCACAGCCATAGATGCTATCAATTTATAGCCGTCATAACTCGAACACCTGTCAGAAATAATTTCACGTCTTAAACGAAAGGCTTGAAGTCAAAGATTCGCGATGCAGTGATAGTTATTCATTCCACACATATTGATACATTCTTGTAAGCGGCTTGATAAAATCGTCTGAATAAACGAATTACGCTTGTACGCAATTCTAACTTCGACAGAATGGATTGTAGCTACAGCGATGTGAGCCTTTCGTGGTATTTTTGTCTTCGTTTTCTCGGTATAGATCTAAAACTCGCATGCAGCCAGTATCTGAAGTTCAAATGTGTTGATGAACTACAGTATAACAATAAATTTGCCAGAAATAAACTTCTCCTCCGATCTTGAGTTCTTTATGTGAAATCAAAAAGACTGAGGAAGACGATCTCTGCCATTACAGTTATATATTCTATCGAAATAAAACTCTATAGAAAATGAGTGAAGTTCATAGGCCCTCCGAATATGAGACTAGAGTTGCTGCTTCAGCGTATAACAAAAAACATGGCTTTTCACCCGATAGCCGTATACATTCCTCTCGTATCCTAATATTATCTAAAGCTCAAACAACACAGACCATTCTTGCTCTTTGTACAAACTCTTTCGTCCGACAGCTGAGTCTACAATCAGATTATCAACTCTTCTCCACTAGCCTTCCAAATCGTCTGCCTTTCTACTCCAATTCAATATTCATGACTTGGAGAAAAGAACACTATTTCGCTATAGAAAAATAAAAGATGCAATTGTTGAAGGCAAAGTATTAGTGCAGTGGTAGAAAGCTCTCTACTTTTTATTCAATTATAAACAACCAAGTGGTAAAAAACCAATTAAATTTGTCAAACAAACCTTTTACATAGGATCAATGACACACAAAAACACACAAATTTTGTCGCTTAAATGCACCTATCTACGCATTGTGGAGAGTCTTGCTATATCCTGTGGTGATAATGGAAGCTACAAAGCTAGGCAAAGTCTTGAAGATAGGTGAGAAAAAGTGCCGTTCAGTGGTTTGCGAGAGGATGGTCGTGATGTCAAAGTCGGTCCTACATACTTGCCTTTAAAAAATTTAAAAGAGCTGTAGGCGTCGATGGAAAGCTTCTTTGGAGTTGAGAAAGTCGATGGCGCTGAAATGGATGGTCGTAGCATAGAGGTTAAAGAGGTGTCCGCTTGGTCACGGGATTGTGACTGCTTTACGAAGTCGATCGCCTAGCCGTTGTTTCCTAGTTGA